GAGAGAGAGAGAGAGAGGGAGGGAGAGCCTCTTCTATTTTGGAGGCTGGTAACATGCCCCATGGAATGCTTCACAAAGGACTTGGTATAAAAGAACCCCTGTATCCTCACCTGTCTGGTAGTCATGATCACCTACTTTGCCCTTCAAAGGTCTCTATCCACTGCTGCATCATTTTAAAATCTAACCACCCTCCTTTCTTTACCTGAAGAAAGAGAACCCAACAACTATGTAACATCATTTTAGGAAAAATCTACCATCAGTATGAATCTTGTAGATGAGATAACTGATTTTATTATGGTTTTATATGGTTTAAATTTAAAAAAAACCCTAAAAATCACAAAGTTGGGTATGCCATCAAAAGCTTGAATTTGCCCTTGACATATAAGCTTCACCCAGAAATTAAATATTCCAGATGGCTAAATTAATTGCCCTTACCCAGACTTGTTGGCTGATAGAACATAAAAAGGCAAATTTTTTACTGTTAGTAGGTGTGAATTTAGGTTAGTCCATAATTTCAAAATGTTCTAGGAACAAAGAGATGCCCTGGCCACTACAGAGCATGTACGTTGGAGACATTGAGATGCTTTGATCTTACCTAAAGTTATAATAAGCCATAACGGAAATAGAGTTTTTAAAAAATGCTTTATGGCTTTATGATATTATCCACAAGAGCATAAAGTATTACTGAGGATGTTTCTGATATTGTCCCACCTGTTGGTGACACAACCTCAGAAAGACCACAAAGGTGGGGCATGAGCATGGCTGAGGTTTTTCCTTCTGGAAAGCTACAGCAATAATGACAAAGGGAAAGCTATTGCTTGATTTTGTATTTTGGGCTTGGAAAATCCTATTTATCTTTGCAGTAATGGAGACACATGTTTCACAGGTATTACTGTTAAGAACGCTGTATGCTTTACCTTTTATTCAAAAACCCCATTTTTTCATTCATAAACTTTAGGGAAAATAAAAAGAACTAACAGAATTCTAAACCATGACGATCAAAGATCTCAAAACCCCTCAAACTTCTAAGGCCTTATTCCCATTAGCCTTGATGGCAATAAGATCAATTTCTTATAGGGCTCAGAAGTTATCTCCTTCTGCATTAATAACAGGCTGCCTTATGAGTTTGAGAATTACTTCCAATTCTAGATTCAACTGTCTTATATGCTGATATGAGTAATTACTCTAGGGAACTCATACAATACCTCTGACTCTATCACCAATAGGTACAAACAATTTCTGTAACAACCTCTGAAGCAACTGCTGCATGATCTGAGACCTGGAGGTTTGGTCCTCTGAAAAAGGCATCAGAGAAAAACTTGTTTTTGACCCTGAATGGGAAAAGGCTTTATCAAGTACTGTTAGTGATTGTCACAATGAAACTCCAAGATGTTGGTCTCCAGGCTGTATCTCTCAACTTAAAAGACTCCTGTCTACTGTATGTCTATTCCATCAGGAGGCTTGAAACTGAAGGAGTTCTTAGGAATTTTCTGGATGATGTTGAGTGCTGATGATGTAGAGTGCAGAAACAGATGGCTTTCACCTACGACCCAAGATGTCAGAATCAGATTAATTTTCTACTTTTCATTACCCCTTTTCTTTCCTCTCTCTACACTAATCAAATCACATCTGGTGTTGTCCTCTATCATTCTCTTAATATGATTTCCCCCATTTTCATCCTATTACATTTGACTGTCTCTCCCACATGCCATAATCTTTTACCATTTAAGAAAAAACCAAAATACTTCAGTATATTTTTCTCAGACCATAGCTTCTGGACAACTGTTCCTTTAAACATTCAAGGTTAATTTCCTTATACTGATCTTTCTGAGACATAAGCTTCTCTCACATAACTGATCCCAAATTTAGTCTTCTAAAATCTGGACCTTGACCCATGTCAACAAAATGTTTCTGTGAAAGCCATTACAACCCTCTCAGAAAAGCCTAGTCCACTGGGGACTAATGTTGGACTGTGTTTGGTCCAATAGTCAGATACACTCTTGGCTGCTTTGTAGGAACTGATGACTCTCTTGGGGAATAGAGTTTTTGGTCAATAGCATTGCAAAATAATACTTAAAATCCCAATACAATTCATGCCCCATTAGGATCTGTTGCTTATGTGGCCATCAGGCTTATCCTGAATACAAAGATAACTTAGTGTGTATTGACCACCACGTAATAATTCTGCATATACAGGATAAGTGTTATAGACTTTAAAGTATTTAAAACTACTACTGCTCCAGGGGATCATGTTTCTCTGAACAAAAAATATCCAGAAACATCCAAAGAGGCAAACAGAATCTACTTGGGAGAACTCCAAGAGGCATAAGTGACTTTTTCCATGCATAGTCTTTGAATGGCAACCCCCATGATAGGGATAATGCAACTGGAAAAGTTGCATTAAGTCCAAAATTTACTTTTGACACTAGCAGATGTCATGAGTTACACAATTTGTTCTCTGGACACCCAACAAATCCGTTTAAATTTATTAGTCAGAATCATGGATAATCACAAAGACATTAATTTCTCTTAACTAGCTGCTAGAGAGTTTATACTATAGCAAACACTTCTTGCTGCACCTGCATACTCCAGGCAATAACATAGCCTATGATTAGGCTAAAGGAATAGATACCCAGCTCTCCACCAGTGACCTTCCAAGATGTGTTTTCTTGCCTCAGTTTAATGATTAGGCTCCTGTATACAGGCTCATTGAAAGGACTCATACTCATTTCTGTTTCTGGTAACTGCTGGTGATGCAGCCAACTGATCCATCCCATCCAGAGTCTTAAATGCTCCTGGGCAGTGATTGCCATATTAGATGATACAACAACTCATCCTGCAACAAACAGCAGGAGAGATTAACTCTAAGCAGCACAATCTGGACAAACACCTGATTAGCAACGTCTCAGCAGCGGTGAAGATCATCGATTTATGTCTTGAGACCTGGCAGTCTGGCCTTGGCTGAAAGAGGTACTGAGAAAGAGAGAAGCAGCCCCTGACATTTGGGAACTGGCCTGGCACCATCTGTTAAGCTCAGTGCTGCCAGGAACAGGCCTGGCCCTCACAGCTAGAACATATAACACTTTCCTGCTTAGTAGAAACAATTTCACAGAACATCAACATTAGAGAAGGCCACGTTGCAACTCTGATGGGTCAAGGCATTCTGTGGTCCTGTCTGAATATAGTCAGAAACATAAACATAGTTCAAACCACAAAACTGAGCAAACACCCCTCCTGGGTAATTCGTTTAACAGTTACTTTACCAGTCATAGTTTTAGCCTCACATCCTCCCAAATTGTACATTTTCAAGCTACTCTTTAATAGAATCGACTCACTCCTTGACAGCATCTGTTGCCATGCAAAGATCTGATTCTTCAAGGATGCCCCTAAAGCACCCAGTTCAAGCCCCAAACCCTTTCATGTCACCTCTACCATGCTCTTACTGAGAGACTCCACATTTCCCCATGGTATTGTCCCTTATTTAAATGAGAAATAAATTCAACTTGTTTAATCACAAATCTGTTCCTGATGGTCTTTGGCTGGAGGACATTGACAGTGGAGCATAAATAACTCTTCTGAGGGTACATCTTTGGATACCTGGTTAGACACACTTCCAAGGACTGGTTTCAAAAAAAAAAAAAAATGAAATTTTCACCAAAGAGGATGACTCTAAGTCACAAAGTCAAGTTGTAACATCCCACTGATTGAACTACTCATTTCATTTCCCGTTTTTGTGTAAATAGATAACACAAACTATTTAGAATATTATGGTGGTGACATTTAAAAAATATTTTTATTTATAAAATTCTCATGTGATTCTGATGCAGAGATCAGGTTGGGAATCCTTTTTCTGTGCCAATGGGACTCAGGTGAAGGTCTGGATTTCATTACAACTTTTTTTAAAGATTTTATTTGTTCATGAGAGAGGCAGAGACATAGGCAAAGGGAGATGCAGGCTCCCTGTGGAACTCAATGCGGGACTCAATCCCAGGACCCTGGGATCAAGATCTGAGCCAAAGGCAGATGCTCAACCACTGAGCCACCCAGATGCCCCTCATACAACTTTGTTGTAAGTAGTCCTTGTAAAATCTTTACCCACTGTCTCCTTGGGCCCTAGGATAGTGCTTTGAGGTTAAATGGTACCTTCAAGGCTTAGATAAATCATTTGTTCACAATCAGAGTAGTTGGTAAATCATAGTAAAAATTATCTGAATCCTTTGTGATTTTAACCTTACAACCCAGAGGCAGGTACTATTATTACTATCAGCATTGCTGGCCAGGAGGGAGACTGAGCTACACAGATTCAGGAAACCTGTCCCAGGACTCTGAGATAGAAGGGGAGTCCGGAGCAGGGGAGTGGGGTATTTGGGTCCAGGGTTCTTGATGATCTGGGTCTCAGCACCAACTTGGCCCAATACTTGTCCTTCCATGTACAGAGCTTCCAGTCGACTCCTCTTCTAGAATTTCCTTCTTGGCAAGAGGCAGAACAAGGTGAAACCAGTGAATAGCAGAGAAAACTGTACCGTTCAACCCTGTCAGAGGCTCCTTCAAAATGTGACATTTCTCCACAATGCCAAGTTCTCTTTTGCTCAAAGTTATGGGACAAGAGCAAGGCTGAAGCCAAGGGTGGTTCACATGCCTAACTTGCTCCTGGTGAAGTCTGAAGTTCCTCTGAATATAACGGTGTTTCTCACTGACTTGTCTCCCTGGCCCCAAGGGAAGCTGGATGGCTCTTGGTCAAGCCTTATGCAGTTAACAACCTTCTCCATCCATGGGAGTTGCAATGAGGCTGATTCCTAGAATTCAACCAGAATTAAAATTCTGCAGGAAGCCTGATTCTCTGTGGCTTTTAGCATCTCCAGGACTCTGAGCCCCAAGAAGGGGCTGTACCCACATGCCATATGCATCCAGACAGACAACCTGTTTCTTGGCAGAAAAAAAATGCTTTTTAGGAGAAAAATCATAACACGTATAACCAAAAATTCAATCTCCATTCTTACGTTCTCCTCTCCCCAGAGTTGACCTTGATCTTGAAGGTGATGCACGCCATGACTTGGTATTTGAATACTCTTATCATGCAGCCCTGTTCAGTGAACAATATGGCCCCTTGTCTCCCATGTTATAGGACTACACATCAATGGCCTCACAGTTCTTGTCCCTTTCAGGTCCACTTCCTCAGGACATCCTACTTTTGTGTCCGGGTATTTTCTCCTGGACAGGTCAGCCATAGGAAAGGGAACAGAAAGATGCCTGCTGATAGTGGTGCCCAGTGTTCACACAAGCATAGAGGATCATTTGTTTGGAAATTACAGGTTACTGTGACTCCATGGCTTAAGAGCACAGAGAGAGACAAACAAGCAGGGGCCTGAGCCTGCCTGTTCCAAAGAGGGCCAGTAGCCCAGGCTGATTTTGTGCAATGTTATGCATCCTGGAGCATGCTGTGTTTCTCTGAAGGAAACAGGCCCAGAGAACAGAGGCATTTTCTCAAGCTCTCAGACTGTCCGAGGAGAGTAAGTCTCAGATCCCAGGCTCCTGACACCTGGCCCGGTGCTCCCTGCATGGGCCCTGGGGCCTTTGATGTCAGAGTCCTGGCAGGTCATGGCAACATGTTACTTTTCCCCCTTCCTCTAGCAAAGGGCAGCAGTTTATATAAACTGTTGGAACTGGTGATTTCCTTGCTCTGTTTCAGGGAAGCTCTAGCATACTACAGACCTCCCTGGGCAACCACAGCTGAACTGGTAAGAGTAATGTGCTAAAGGAAGATAAACCCTCCTCAGACCTAGGGAATGAGCCTAACCAATCTAAACTGATCATGGGGTTCCCAGTCTTCTTGCTGGTGATGGTCTCTGGGACAAGCTGGCCAGTGAGCTGTACACCTACATCTGCTAGAAAGCATCTGGAAGAGGTTTTGGTGGGGGTCTCACAGAAGTCCACAAGGAAAGAAGGAAAAGCCATCTTTCCCCCTCTTCTCCATTGTGCGAAAAGAAGGTGATTCTTGGAGCTACTGCAAGGTATCTTGCACCTATGAGGGAAGATTCTGCTGACACCCTGGGGAGGACAGGCTGTAAGTGGGGCATTCATCCATGAAGGCATTGAGCTGCCAAGCCATTCTAGAGTTGCCTTCGTGTACTGGCAGGAGACAGGTATATGGTGTCCTTTCCGAAACCAGGGACACTGGTTTCATGTCCTTGCGCAGGAAGCACCAGTGGACACACTGGGCGAGGGGTCAGTGTTCTCTCGGGCCTGGGGGCCGTGGTAGTCAGGAAAGCTCCTCTGGAGGCCGGACGCTGTTTTTAGCAAAGCTCCTTCTGAAGCTGCTAGAACTCAATGCAATCAGTTGTGGTTTGTTAGTGCCCACAAGCCAATGATCATTCCTCCAAAAAAGAGGAAGAGAAGGGATGAAGAAATTGGTTTGTGGCCTGGAAATATACAGAAATGACTAAGCTTAGGCTGACATCTTGTGGCTGAGACAGAAAAAGGCGTTCCACTAAAATAAAAGATAAAGGGAGAAGTTGGGGCAACTGCTGGGAGCTGGGGGTGGGATGGGGGCAGGGAGTGGGCGAGGAGGTGGTCTGTGATCTAAGAACAAGAAACTTGCACCTTTCATTCCACTTTCATTTTTATTCATCCCCTTTATTATCATATGCCATACTTCTTCAGTAGTCTTTTTCAGCATAGTTCTAAGAAAAGTAGTATTTTAACTTTCATTATCACAGACAAACTGATTTCTGGCTGGTAATAAATTATTATTATAGCTCTTTCTTCTTCAGTTAATAAGCCACTCACCTAGTGTCATTAGATGACCCCTCTCTTTGGATAGTCAGCACAATGTAGTAGACCTGAGTGATTCATATAGTTCATAAACTGGACGTTAAAAAATGTTCCTCATACATTTCCTTCTTCATGGGTAGGCCGGCAGGCAAGACATGTTCCCATTTCACCTAGATAGAACCTCTTAGCGATGCCTGAGATCACATGGCCAGCAGGTGGTATAGGTCCCTAGGACCCCAGAGCCCAGACATGGAGCTAATGGTCAACACTTCCTTGCAATGAGTAGGACAGGCAAAGCCTGTACATTGCCTCATTTAATTGTTAAAACCACTCTCTAAGTTACAGAATGTTATGCTCGCTTTACAAGTGAGGAAGCAAAACTGAGGGTCATGGAGGCTGGCTTCATGGGAATCTAAGCTTTGGCCTGTTTCCAGAACCCATCCTTGTCATCTGTCTCCACTTTGTGAGATCATCCACCTTGTCCTTCTCTCCCCACTCCACTCCCTTTCTTATACATGCCTCTCCTATATCCTGGGCTTCCAAGAAATTGTCTTCAGCATTTGTTGCTATGATTCTCCTTGAAATATTAGTTGATAAAGAGCTTTTATTTTTTTCCCAGAGACATTTGCATTATAATAGATAAGGAGCTTTGAACACAGAAAACCTTTGGGATTGAAAGGGAACATGTCAGACTGCAAGAAATATATGAGGCAAGGACATTTTGGGAGCAGATAAACAAAGATCTCCTTTAAATAGCCCCACAAAGACGACACTGTCCTTGGCAGCCTGGGGCTCCCAGACATCAGATTACATACCTGATGTAATTGAAAATCCAACTTGAGGCAAGCAGTTGTTTACTCTGTGTGCTGGACAGATTTATCACTAGACCAATGCACGTGCTACCTGAGAAGAGCTAGGAGCTGCTGCTAAAGCAAACAGAGGTGTTCCTCTCCTACCATTTTGAAAAAAAACAAAACAAAAAACAAAACAGTATCATTATAATTCCAAAATATAAGAGACCAGAACATTTTAATTCCAATTAACTTTCAGTTTTCATTTTTTATTTTTTTTATTCTTAAAATTTATTTATTTATTTATTTATTTATTTATTTATTTATTTATTTATTTATGATAGTCACACACAGAGAGAGAGAGGCAGAGACACAGGCAGAGGGAGAAGCAGGCTCCATGCAGGGAGCCCGACGTGGGATTCGATCCCGGGTCTCCAGGATCGTGCCCTGGGCCAAAGGCAGGCGCTAAACCGCTGCGCCGCCCAGGGATCCCCAGTTTTCATTTTTCTTAACATACATTAGAATAACAGTGAATTGGTGTATGATACTGCCCTCAGCTGAGAATACACTCATGGAACACTTGTTAAGGTCAGTAAAATTCTGCACTTGATTCCAGTGTGGTGGCTCTTTTCCCCACAGCCAGAAATTCTCTGATACCAGCTGAGTCTCCTAAATTCAACTCAATTCTGACATTGTCTACCTGGAGATGGCATCAGGTCCCACAAGCCTGTTTGGGGTTGTAGGGATGGAGCAGGGATCTGAGTTTAGACATATTCATAGTATCTACCTCATGTTTTTTGTAGCAAAATGAACATCAACTCTGATATTTTAGAAATTGTCCTTTTCCTTCCATGGTAGTTGATATTGAAGGGAGGGAAAAATTTGTCTTCTACCCTTCGAGGTCTTCCAGCTAGACTAAGAATTAAATTGGCATGACACAGATTAACAGGATGAAAAAACCCAAAATATTTTTATGATCGAGACCTCAAGAAAGGACCATAGCAGATAGTTTCTGTATTTTTAAAATAGAGAGACAATGAATCTGTGAGAAATTGACAGGTCAAAGAAAACTTAACTTTGGGAGCTTTAATTAGTAAAGAATTCTAAATAGAATTTGGGCTGGGATAATGATTCAGTAAAAAGTCACAGGGTTGGGATGTCTGGGTGGCTCAGGGGCTGAGCGTCTGCCTTCAGCTCAGAGCATGATCCCGGAGTCCTGGGATCGAGTTCTGCATTGGGCTCCCTGCAGGGAGCCTGCTTCTCCTCTGCCTCTGTCTCTGCCTCTCTCTCTGCGTCTCTCATGCATAAATAAATAAAATCTTAAAAAAAAAAAGTCACAGGGTTGTTTATAAAATCTTCTCCTCCCTGAATTTTCCATCTTTGGTGATAAGGATGTCTCTTTACAGAAAGGGTAACTTCCACATGAGAGATTTGTTTTCTGCTTCCAGGAGGACAGAGCAGGGTCTGAATGTTCTTCATACACAAGCTGTCTCTTAAATAACTTTTGTTTATTTAATAAATAATAATAATTGGTAATAAATAACCAATATGTCAAAATAGTGCATTTTGGGACAACCTGCCCTTGGCCCCCACAAGAAGGGTGGACAGGGACCTAAAATAGGCATTTGAGTTCCTTTAATTAATTGTAGTTGTACTCTGTTTCCCTGCATTGTGGGAGGCTCTCTCTCTTTTACTGTCCAGTGGTCCCAAGTTGGAATACCCTTTGGGTAACAGCAGGCATTTCTGAGTACCCTGGGGAGTACCAGAATGTTCCTCAGGCCTACTTCTGCCCTCAGCACCTCATGCTGCACAGTGAGGCTCACTTCCTCCTTTCTGCCACTGTAGGGCTATAAACCTCTTTTCCTCCTTGTGGTTATTCCCTCTGCCAGAGAGACAGCAATGGACAGCAATGATTCCCTAAAGAACAATTAACACATGGCCTCTGAGTTCAACATTTAAAGATGATGTGAGGAAATTACAATGCAGAAAAGGGAGACAAAATAAAAATAATCTATCCCTTTTTCTAGAACACAGCAATTTGCTTCTTCTCTGGGGCTCTTCCTGCCCTCCTACTTCAAGAGTCCAAGTTTTCAGGACTCCAAGGTGGATCAGTGGTTGAGCATGTGCCTTTGGCTCAGGTCGTGATCCCAGGGTCCTGGTTTCCCGTCCTGCATTGGACTCTCTGTGGGGAACCTGCTTCTCCTTCTACCTAGGTCTCTGCCTATCTCTCTGTGTCTCTCATGAATGAATAAATAAAATCTTTAAAAATAAATAAATAAATAAATAAATAAAATAAAAAAGGTTTTATTTATTCATTCATGAGAGACAGAGAGAGAGAGAGAGAGAGAGAGAGAGAGGCAGAGACACAGGCAGAGGGAGAAGTAGGCTCTAGGCAGGGAGCTTGACATGGGACTCGATCCCGGGACTCCGGGACCATGCCCTGGGCAGAAGGCAGGGGCTAAACCACTGAGCCACCCAGGGATCCCCA